TTGAGAACCAGGGTGGTTAAGTACACTCCATAGTGCCTAGGTTAAAAGTTTCCATTTGGCAAAAACTTTTGAGAAACACTATAATCTCACTACACTTCAAAAGACTGGCAGAATTCAAAGTGGAGTTGCACCACTCATTTAATTTCACCTAAATGCACTTGCCTTTTTTTTTTTTTTTTCCTGTCATCCAGGCTGGAGTGCAGTGGTGTGATTATAGCCCAGTGCAGACTCCAGCTCCTCAAACTCCTGGGCTCCCGAGTAGCTAGAACTACAGGCGTGCCCCACCATGCCAAGCTAATTTTTTATTTTGTACAGTGGGGGGTGAATGGGGCTCTCGCTACTTTGCCCAGGCTGGTCTCAAACTCTTGACCTCAAGCGCTCCTCCTGCCTCAAGCCTCCAATTCCCAGAGCACTGGGATTACAGGCATGAGCCACCAGGCTGGCCTACTTGCCTCAGGCAGCTGACGGCCATTCCACTCACTGAGCGTGAGCTGCAGGATTAGCGCTGAGACTCTGCCCCCCAGCAGACAGCCCCGCCCACAGTGCTGGCTCTTGGGTAATGGCCTCCCTTTGTCCTCCAGCTCCCGGGTCACCCTCTAATCCATGGGTGACTTCCCATGTCCCTTTTGGGTTTTAGGCTTTCCTTTAACACCTATTCCCTGGATAAAATTCCCTCTGTTGACCTACCAAGTGTGGCAATATTTGCCTGGCTGAATCTCAATTGATACATTGTATATTTATTGGGATAAAGTTTTATATTTTTTTTTTTTTTTTTTTTTTTTTTTTTTGAGACTCAGTTTTACTCTTGTTGCCCAGGCTGCAGTGCAATGGCGCAATCTCGGCTCACCGTAACCTCTGCTTCCTGGGTTCAAGCAATTCTGATTCAGCCTCCCAAGTAGCTGGGATTACAGGCATGCGCCACCACACTCAGCTAATTTTGTATTTTTAATAGAGACGAGGTTTCTCCATGTTGGTCAGGCTGGTCTCGAACTCCCGACCTCAGGTGATCCGCCCACCTCGGCCTCCCAAAGTGCTGGTATTACAGGCGTGAGCCACCGTGCCTGGCATATTTATATATTAACATAGGGAAAATTGACATCTCTGTAATCCTGTCTTTCTATTCAAGAACATGGCCAATATCTTTCCATGGGATCAAATCTTCATCTTCGTCCCTCCTTCCGTAGAGTTCAGAGAGTTTCAAAGCCTTATTTAGCACTTCCTTAGCTTTTTTTTTCTTAGATTTATTGAATTTCCTCCTAAGTGTTTTATCCTTTGTGTGGCCAGTGTAAATGGTGCTGCCTGTAGGGTAGCTGTGGGGACTGAATAGGATAATATATAAAGTACTTAAAGTCCCTGGCATGCAGTAAGTGCTATAGAAATGCTTGCTGTGATAGTCACCCTTTGTTTTCTGCACTTCTTCCTCTAACGGGTTATGGTTTAGATGTGAGCCATAGTTATTCTGTCTCGATTTCTGCCTAGCTCCTGTTCAGGTGAAGCTGAGAGGCAGAAATGGATCAAGCCTTAAGCAGAAGCCCAAGATCTAGGCACTGGCAGGTTCAGTGTCTTGCGAAGGCTCGCTCTCTGCTTCCAAGATGGTGTCTTGTTGCTGTGTCTGGTAGAGGGGACGAACGCTGGGTCTTCCCACGGTGGAAGGGCCAAAAGGGGCCTGGCTATTTCCCTGGAGCCCTTTTATAAGGGCAGTAATCCTATTCATGAGGACTGAACTCTCATGACTTAATTACCTCCTAAAGATCCTACCTCTTAAGACTATCACGTTGGGTCTTAGGTTCTAATATATGAATTTGGGGGGGACATATAAGTTCAAACCAAAGTAGGGTGGCATGCCAGCAACAGCCCCATCCCGTCACCAGCTCTCGGTCCTCTTATGGAGGTCCCTTCCCCACTCATTTCTACCCCCAGAACTAGGGTTTTTTTTCCTCACTGGCCTATCTTCCCCAGAAGCCAGGGACTCTTTGGTGCTAAAACCCAATCACTAGAAGCAAGGACACAATTATTGTTGCTTCATGTGTCCAATCTAACTTAAGGAAAACAAAGTTTAATATTCCTAGAAAACGAAGTATTCTTGTGGGCAAATCTGACGGTTTAAAACAAAATTAACATTTGCTGTTTACTGTTCAGAAACAGGTTGACAGTTGCTCTCTGTGTATCAGTGAGCTGGCTGCATAACAAACTGCCCCAAAACTCAGTAGCTTAAAATAACAATCATTTAATTTTGTTCTTCGGTCTACAGGTCAGCTGGGTTGTTCTGCTGATCTGGACCAGGCTGGGCTAACCTCAGGAGAGAGAGGTAGAGACTGGCTGATCGAGGATGGCCTCCCTGCTGTGTCTGGCAGCTGGCAGCAGGGGCAGTGAATTTTACTGGAATACTTGTCTCTTATCAATCAGGAGGCTAACCTAGGCTTATCTTCATGGTGCAATGGAGTTCTGGGAGAGATCAGAGAACACAGGAGTTCTTGGGACTGAAGTTTGGAACTGACACAGAATCACTTTCCACCACATTCTATTGGCCAAAGCAAGACATAAAGCCAGCTTGGATTCTAGGGGTAGGAAACAGACCCCTCCTCTTGATGGATGGGGCTGCAAAGGCATAGTGCACAGGGCATAAATACAGGGAATCACGAATAATTAGGGTCACAATCAATCTACCACACTCCCCACACCAAGAAGAGAATGTTTAGCATCAATTTCCTTCATTTTAGCAAAGGTTGCTTCATCTCACTAGCAGTGAGATGTGAGCTGTCACATCTACATGTGGACTGATTCAGGAGAAAGTTCTGCAGATGGTTAACCTCACTCACTCATTTATTATGACTCACATCAGTTGCACTTTCCTTTTTTTTCTTTTTTTGAGATGGGGGTCTCACTCTGTTGTCCAGGTTGGAGTGCAGTGGTGCAATCCTGGCTCACTGCACCTCACGAGTAGCTGGGATTACAGACGTGCATCACCACACCCAGTTAATTTTTGTATTTTTAGTAGAGACATGGTTTCACCATGTTGGCCAGGCGGGTCTCGAACTCCCGACCTCAGGTGATTCACCTGCCTCGGCCTCCCAAAGTGCTGGGATTACAGGCATGAGCCACCGCGCCCAGCCGCAATTTTGCTATTTCTTGATACTGAGCCCAAATCTGAGTCTGTTTGAGAGTGTGATCTTCCACACCAACTGTGGGGTTGATCTATGTCCCTCGCGGTCCTGGTTTCTGAGAGCAGTTCCTTGTTTTGGTTGGAGTTTTCCAGCATAGATTTACCAAGATGCTGAGAATAGTTCCCAGCTAGTGGTTGAATAAATATTTGTTCACTTGTCGATTCAATCAATCACAGGCTAATTAATTCCCAGTCCTGTTAGAAGCAATTGAAAATGTCACATCTGATTGTCAGGGGGCAGAGAGCGCTTAGAGGTAATCCAATCATCTCTCTTCCTTCTGGCTTCTCCACCCTTAAACCACTGATTCTGTGTCAGTTTCAAGCATAAGGACCATGGACACCTGGTGACCATACAGGGAGAGACTTCCCCTGACAGTCTCTTCTGTCTTCTCCCTCTAGAGGGTAACCAAGCCACCCTGGGCCAGGCTGTGGAGTGGCTGGAGGTTGCACCTGCCCCTTGCCTCCCACACTGTATGGCTGCACTCCTATCCACCCTCCCAGCCCACAGGTGAAAACTAAGCAGCCCCAAGCCCCATTGCCTTGGGGTAAGAAAGTGGGAAGCAAGAAGCAAATGGCCCAATCCTGGGTTGTTTAGGTAGAGAGGAGATACTCAGAAGACAAGGAAAAGAAAAGGATTTTTAAGAACCTCTAAGAACATGGTTTGAGGAGAAGAGCCATGCTAACTGTAGGGATTTATGCAAAGCTTGCCATTTAAACTAATCAGCATGTGGCAATAGCTATTGTGCATTCTACTGTGTGTTTAAGGTTTTATTCACTGTGTGTTTTACTTGATCATATTAGACTTTCCTCCTATATTTAGAGTTCCCTTGCACAAGTGAAATGTCGTATATTATGTGTTTAAAAGGATTCTAGTATCCAATTGAATAAAAAAGAAAAAGTATGTACATATGCACACACACACACACGTAAGAATTTTGTATATTATGGAGTAAATGTATGCTTTATGTTTAAAATATCTACATATATTTAAATTTATATATTGATATGTAGCTATTTAAAATGAAAGGTATATATCTTCTATAAATGTTTTGTGGGCCAGGTGCAGTGGTTCACACCTGTAATCCCAGCACTTTGGGAGGCCGAGGCTGGTAGATCACGAGGTCAGGAGATCGAGACCCATCCTGGCTAACACGGTGAAACCTCATGTCTACTAAAAATACAAAAAATTAGCCAGGCGTGATGGCAGGCGCCTGTAGTCCCAGCTACTGGGGAGGTTGAGGCAGGAGAATGGCATGAACCCAGGAGGCGGAGCTTGCAGTGAACTGAGATAGCGCCATTGCAGTCCCACCTGGGTGAAAGAGCGAGACTCCATCTCAGAAAAAGAAAAAAAGAAAAAAAATGTTTTGTATAGCTTATGTAGCTAAGAAAAAATGTGTGTCCATATACTTGCATTTCACTGAAAAATGTCTGATACATAAGGAGATGTAAGAATGAGATAATAATTACCTCAGAGAGTTTTTTTTAATTTTCCTTTCCATACAGTTAAACTTTTCATCATGAGCATGTATCACCTTTATAGCTTTTTTAAAAAGCAGTTTATTTGTAAATTTTAAGGCAGTTCTTCCGACTTTTCTTTCCTCATTGTCCCCAGCTTAAATTGTAAATTCAGTTGACTTTTTAGATTGAGTTCTTCCTGGAAAAAAAAGTTTCCCACAATGCCCTGCCAGAAAGATATGGTGTCCAACCCAGTTTAAAAAGTGCACCCAGTCTTTAGGTTCAGCTGCTGAAGAAGCCCAATCCCTGGGCTGGAGACCTCCCCTGCCCCCTCGCAGCCCAGGATGTAGGGTAGCAGCAGCATCTCCCCTGCTCCCCCCAGGGCCGCGGCGGCAAAGGCAGCATCTATGTGTGGGCCTCCGGGGACGGCGGCAGCTATGATGACTGCAACTGCGACGGCTACGCCTCCAGCATGTGGACCATCTCCATCAACTCAGCCATCAACGACGGCAGGACCGCCCTGTATGACGAGAGCTGCTCTTCCACCCTGGCTTCCACCTTCAGCAACGGGAGGAAAAGGAACCCCGAGGCCGGTGTGGTGAGCACGTCCCCTTCTGTCCTTGTTTCCTTAGGGCCACTGCACCTCTGTGTTACGGTAGGATGCTGGGACACTGATGTGCTCCCCTCCTGTCCCCTCCCTCAGAGCCTGAACTAAGGCTCTGCGGGGAAGACCCCTTTTCTCTATGCCCAGCCCTGCTTTCTAATAAGGCACACACCTCCCATCTGCAAGCTAGGAGCATGATCAGTGAGGACTCCTTTCCAGATCATTTTCCATAGATTTTCTTGTTTATTGTTTTTGGCTTACAAGTAATGATGAAGTCTGGTTTACCAATCAGTTGCCCCATTCCATCACTTACAAGAATAACTAACTCATTGTAAGAACCAAAGCATCACACTGTAACCCTGTCTGAAACAAGAACCCATCTGTGTATTTATAGTAATTTTAAAAACAACATTCATGGATGGACTTTTCTGGATCCATAAACCCCCTAAAATTGCACATGCATCTGTTATTTGCTCAGGGAAAGACTTGTGATTTTCATCATATTTTAAAATGGAACCATGATTTTTAGAAAAAAAAAAAAAGACTAATAATCATAGATTTAGATTGTCGCTCTTTTCTGAGCAAAGAAAAAAAAAATCTTCCTTTCGTGGCAACTAGATATAATGGTGGATTTTTCAAGCCCCTGGGATATACATCATGTGTAAAGCATGATAAGCCTTTTTGGATCTTTTCCTCTCTGGAGACTTTGGTCACAGATCAGCCTTTTCTCACACCTCCAAACCAGGATTTAGTAGGTGGTTCAGTAGTCATGCATGAGCTATATCCTGACTGGCTGCACCCATCTCCACTGAGGCTTCTTGAGAGAGGAAGACAGGAGCTCAGGACAAAATCATTAGTACCATCCAGTGTTTCAATCCCATACTCCCACTTGGGATCCCAACTTGGCAAGATGGTCATGCCCCTGTGTGAGCCAGGAGAAGCCCTTTACCTGGAAGGGACGCAGACCTTAAAATCCTGTCCTTCCCACGAGCCCTCCTGCATTCCCCGTTGGTCTTGGGGAGGATGAAGAATGTGCCAGCTCCTCCCAAACAGAAGGGGACTTTGACCCCTCTTGTCCTATAAGCTGTATGGACATTAAGGGAGGAGGGCAGACAGGGACAGGTGAGGTGACACTTCACTCTCATGCCTGGAAGCTCCACTGCCTACCCCAAAGGCCTCTCAGTGGTATAACTTCGTCCTCAACCCGTATTTATGACTTTTTCTACTTGGGCTGGCTAAAGGCCTTGTGTTTCCTCTGAGTACTATAATTTTGCTCAATAGATGCCCTTAAACCTCCCTGGTAATTTCTTCCTCAAAATAATAGGCTCTCTTGAGGATCCTACAGACAGTGGAAGAATTCCTGTCGTTTATACATGATTTTAATGAACACCCTGGCTCTCACAAACATTGAAAATGAGGTTTTTCACTTTGTGAAAGTCCTTTAAAAATCTATTCACCAGTGTCCCCTCTAAATAAGAGTTGTGGAGGTGATACCCACATATTGGGTTGTCTTGACTCAACACGTCTCAGAATCTCTCCGTGAATTTTAGATGTAGAGAAACATTTTTTAACAGCCTGCCCTTCTAGGTAGACTTTAGCTGAGCATGCTGATTCTTCCTCTTCGGGAATGCCCCTCTTTCTCCCATGAAGGAAAAAGAAATGCTAATGACATGGCCTTTGGCCTTTCCAAGGGCCAGTCCTGATGCAACAAAACTAGGGGAGTATTGACATCAGTTGCCACTTCATAGTGTTTCTTTTTAGGTTTCAGGAAATAAATCTCTCTCTAGTCTCTGGAATAGCCACAGATATGCTTCTTTGAACAACTGATTTATCCTGTGGACACTGTAACTATAACTGACTATGTGTCCCCTTTTACATGGGCTACTAGGAAGCTCAGATAAAACCTAGGGCAAAAGAGATGCATATGGATGCTAAGCTTATCCTTAGTTTCCTCTTAATCTTCTTGGGAACAAAGCATAGTTTAAATACAAGGAGTAGGCTGGGCGCAGTGGCTCATGCCTGTAATCCCAGTACTTTGGAAGGCCAACGCAGGTGGATCACCTGAGGTCAGGAGTTCGAGACCAGCTTGGCCAACATGGCGAAACCCCATCTCTACTGAAAATACAAAAATTAGCCAGGCGTGGTGGCACGTGCCTGTAATCCCAGCTATTTGGAAGACTGAGGCAGGAGAATCACTTGAACCTGAGAGGCAGAGGTTGCCGTGAGCAGAAATCACACCACTGCACTCCAGCCTGGGCAACAGAGTGAGTCTGTCTCAATAAATAAATAAATAAAAGGAGTAGATAATCCCCTGCTCCACACTGTGCGGGGGTTCAAAACAGTGTGATTTATTCACTCATTACGCATTATCTTCCCTTCCAGGCAACCACAGATTTGTACGGCAACTGCACTCTGAGGCATTCTGGGACATCTGCAGCTGCCCCCGAGGCAGCTGGCGTGTTTGCACTGGCTCTGGAGGCTAAGTATGTTCATAGCTCTGGGTCCAGGGCCAGCTCTGCAGGGTGGACTAATACGTGTCTCTCTGCCCACATGCCAGGTGTCCATGGAGGCAAAAGTGGACATGAGAGGCTATGAATAGTCAGGGCCAACGAACTCTGCTGTGCATTTCTAAGTGGTCCATGTGCCCACCTGCACGTGTGTGTGCATATACACACACACACATACACACACACCCACCATAAAACCAGATTCCCGGGAGCACACAACACCCAGCAGCACATATCAGCAACTTACTCAGATACCCAGTGAGGGCACAGAGATATTTCTTTCTTCACCAGATTTGCCCCTCTATCCTCTCTGCATCCCTGGGTTCTTCTACTCCAGTGATATTCACAATCAGCTACTTGAAGAAAAATCAAACTGCCAAGCTGGTGTTTCAGAATATGTGGCAAACAAGGTGGTCCCACTCAAGATTTGTTAATTGGTGAGGTGGATTCACTTTTTAACACTGAAACAAGATACGCAAATTCACGCAGTGTAGACCAAGGTATGGGCTTTCCTGGGAAACCTTCCAAGCTAAAGGTAAGAGGAGACCATCTCCTACATCCTTACCATCCTATGGAGAGGCCACATGTTGCTACTGCTGGACACACCTGGGATTTGAGTAGCAGTGGAGGTACCTGCCCACCTGCTACTCTGCATTCTTTTAGTGATACCTGAGGCTGGCCTTATGTTCACAGAAGGAACACACGGGCTTCAGACACCACACATGTAGTGTGAGTGTAAGTGCTGGCTGTGTAGGGAATTGTCAGAGAATGCAGTTCCCAGCAACTTCTGAGAAGTTAGATTCAGGCTCCTGGGGAAGGAGAGTAGAGTTGCTAGGCAACCGGAGCTCCCAGCATCAATCTCTAGGCAGCGCTGCTTGTCTCTCTCCACATATGCAGTGCAATTTTTGATTTGCAAAGGAGGCAGGAGTTGGTTCCTAGAATAGAAAGGGGCTTCAAAAGATTACCTAGTTCAACCCTCTACCTTCACAAGAAAAGGCATAATTATCCTCCCTTTGCAGATAAGACCCCAAATTGAGAGTGACTCCTCTCTTTGGACAAGTCTAAACTTTGATTCTTCTAACAAAAGTCAGGTAGAAAATTTATGATGCCAAGACACTGGTCAAAGCTCAACTATTAGGCACAGAAACCTCTGCCCTATCAAGCACAGAAACCAAAATTTACTCACATCTAATGTACATTTCCTGAAGGTAAAACTGTTCATCTCAGGGCCTCAGTGGGCCCTGGAGCCTGAGTTGGCCTTGCTCACTTCATCTGCAAGGAGACAATTAGCAGAGCCTGCTGCCTGTAGCTGAGCTGCAAAGGGCCAGGGAGCAGGAGTGCTCCAAAAGCGAGAAGGGTTTCTGGTTGCCCTTTCAACCCCAGAGGTCAAGACTTGACTCACAGTCTTCTGGGATTTTTGACAAACAAAATCCTATGCCTATGCCTAGATCCATAGGCATACAAATGGAACACCTAAATAAATCAGAGTGGAGGGGTGTGGCTGCTGGACTCCTAGAGATTCATGGCTCTGCCTTGATTAGTCACCATTCTTTCAGCACATACATCTAGATATCCTACAGAAAAGAATTCAGTCACCATTTAGGCATGCTTTGTTTTGAAGCAATGATCATGAACTTAATGTTCTCTGCTGGCATAAAGAGGAAAAAAGTATAACACCTGGCAGCTTGTGGGTAAGTCCGTCACTGGAGCCGGTCCTAAAATTCTTCAAAATACCAACTTTCTGTGGTTGGAAGCAGACCCTGAGATGAGATTTTTGTGCAAGTGATTTATTAAGGAAGGGATCCCAGGAAAGACAGTAAGGGAGTAGGGGAAGGAAGTTAGGATGGGGAAAAATCCAAGCAAAGGTTCAACTTCAAAAGTTCTGGCCTCAGTCTAATACCGAATGTAAATTAGGCCTCCGAGTTTGTTCTACCTCCAGGCAAGGAAGCTGGACTGTCATATTCTTATATGAGTCAGTCATCGGCTAAGAGCTACCTTGGAGAAGTAAACTCCAAGGCATCTCTAGCTTTAGGCAAAGCGGCTCCAGTAGCCAAAAGTGAAAACCATTGGTCAGGATGAGATACCCCAAGCGACAGCCCAGAAGGATAAGGAAAAGGGCCTCCACAGAGCAGTCCCACAGCTCATCTCTCTGTCTTCTTGAGATAAGGTTACAGGAAGTCCTCATGCATAACAACAAATTATCTAAATGTATGTCCATCAGGACCTTGAAAGAGAGAGAATAACACTTCCCCCATCACGACTGCAGGGGAGAAAAAGAAAACCACCTCTCTCTCCTAACCAGTTGTCACTTTGTAGTTTAATATCATAATATACTTTTCTGCCCAATGCTTGAAAATGCCTACTTGAGTCACAGAAAATATTGCTCCCATCTCCCAGTGTCACCAATATCAGAGATTTTTCAAAGAATTTTAGTGAGGGATGACTGCCACCTTTGAATATTTAGGTTTCTCTCATATGACCTGGTGCTTTCTCTGTGGTTTTAGAAGGTGAGCTAGGCTCGAGGGGTAGATGTCATAAGGAGATGAATTTTTGACTCCAGAAAATCACCTGGAGTAAAGTGGTCCACATGCTGGACTGGAACAATGATTCCAAAAGTGACTTTCCTGGGGATGGATTTTTAATGTAAACTCTTTAGTTAGTGTAGTATATACAAAGAAATTCATTAGGTGTGGCTCCATGACATTTTAACAAAATAAACAGACCCACATAGCCAGCACCCAAATCAAGAAACAGACTATTTATGTGCCCTGTTGCTCAGCAGAGCAAGAGATGTTGCTGTATATAGTTACAGATCGTTCATTCTCATTGTTGAATATCACTCCATTGTATAAATGAATATTTGGATTGTTTCCATTTGGGGCTACTGTGAGTGATATTGTTAGGAACATTCTTGTATATGTCTTTTGGTGAACATACGGATGCATTTCTGTTAAGTATCTACTAGGAAGTCAAAACGTTGAGTCATTAATATACATACATGCAATTCTAGTAGATACCACCAAATAGTTTCCTGAATTGGGTGTACCCATTGACCCTACCTTGAGCAGTATATGAGAATTATAGTTGCTCCACATCCTTGCCAAAATGTGGTATTAGTAGTCTTCTACATTTCAGCATTCTTATGGATGTGCAGTGGAGTCACATTGTAGTTTTAATTTGCATTTCCCTCATAGCTAGTGAAATGGAGCACACTGGGGAAAGTTTTTAAAAAAATACATTCCCAAGTCTCACCCAAGCCTCACTGAATACAAATCCCTAGGGATGGGTGGCCCAGGAACCTGACTTTTCAATGCCTGTTCCCCAGGAATACTTAAGCTGCCAGCCTGTCACTGATCTGTAGACTAGGGTGTGAGGATGACCAATAAGGCAATAGCTCTGTGAATCTGTGACTCTGGGTGCAGAGTGTGGGTAGCTGGCTTCTGCCTCTGATTAGGTGTTGCTATTCAGTCAAGATTTAATGTTTCTGCATGAAACAGCAAATCCAAATAATAATATCCAACTAATAACAGAGACAAGGGTTTATTTTTCTGTCATGTGAAAGAAAATACAAAGATAAGGAACCCAGGGCTGGTTTAGGGTACTGGGGTACCATTGTGAATCAAGGAATCCAGCTCTTTCTAGTTTTCTGCTTCTTTGCTCTGCCACTTTCATGTTCTCTAGATGTGCTGGAACTCCAGCCATCATGTTTGCATTTCAGGCAGGAAAAGGAGAAGCACAAAGGGCAAAAAAATAAAAATAAAAAATATATAAAAGAGAGAGAAGAGAGAGAAAGAGAAAAAGAAAAAAAGAGATGAAAGAAAAAGAAAGAATGAATGAAAGAAAAAAAAGAAAAGAAAAGAAAAAGAAAATACAATAAAAAAAGAAAGGAAAAGAAAAAAGAAAAGAAAAGAGAAAAGAAAGAAACCAGCTGAGTCAGCCATGTTGAAGGGCTTTTCCAAGGAGCCCCACCCAGTGGCTTCTGCTTATTTCTCACTGGCTAGAGCTGTCACATGACCACCTCCACACTTCAAGGGAGGCTGGGAAATGTAGTTTTATAGCTGAATGCATTGCTGTTCTGAATAAAATTGAAGTTTTCTTAATAAGGAAGGAGAAAAGATAGATATGGAAGGAAAGACAACTGCTAATGTCTTCTGACATCTAAGTGGACAATCACTCATCTTCTCTGGATCTCTATTGTCTTATCTACAAAATGTAGCAAGTTAGATCATCAATAAGGTTCAAATGACTTCCTGGAATATTTTAGCTCTGCTTCTGAAATTTTTTTTTTAGGAAAGTTTATCTTTAATTGGATGTCTGGTGATTTTTAAGGTTGAATATGCCTTAAAGCTGGAGAACATTCATTTACATACTTTTAAATATTGTGGTCAATACTTAGGAAATAGTAACCTAACTTGCTTTAACTTCTGATATATGCAATATATGTTATTATTAATAATAATAAAGTCTTTTTATTCAGTGTCCACCACTGTGCTAGGTACTTTATATACATAATTTACATTTACATCCTGCAACAAACCTATAAGGCCTTATGCCCATTTTAAAGATGTCAAGGCTAGAGCTCGAATTGTTAAAGTAACTTATCCAAGTTCACACAGTTGGCTTTAAGCTTTAGGATGCCTGTGTTCCACCGGGCTCTCTATGGAACACAGAAAAGGCCCTGCCACCATCATGCCTGTGAGACTCACCACTCATTCTGCCATGGTAATGGGCTGCAGTGAATGAGTTATCTCTTCCTCAAACATGATGCACAAAATCAGGTTTCACTTCCTTTGAGATGAGATTTTCCACACCACCACTACACCAGGGAGTCATGAAAACTGAATTTTCTCTCACGTTCATAGAAGCAAACAAAGGCTATGGAGAAAATGCCAGCTTGACTCATAAATGCATTATTTTTCTCAGACTGGAAATAATCCAACTTTTGAAATTATTTTTTAATCCTACCAAAATTTAGAGGATAGACTCAGGATTTTTTAAATGAAAGAAAATAAATGGATCTTTTACGACTCCAAACATCTCTTATGGATGAAGAGAACGAGACCCAGAGAAGTGAAACAACTTGCTCCAGGTCACACAGTTTACATTGTTCAGATAAAGATCAGATCCAACAAGTAAAGAGATTAGAATTCTCCTGTTGTCTTTTAGAATTTACCAGATGTTAGTAGAAGTGATTCCTCCAACCTTAAGACTACAGCATCATCTTTAAAACATTTCCATTTTCAATTTCTCTAAAGATGCATGGGCTGACTTTAAATTCCCTTTGCTGCCTTGATCATGAGGAGGAAAATGTGAATTGGGTTCAGGGGAGCTTGATGCTGTAAATAGAAGTACTGTGCTCTGAAAGAGAATGGTGAGGGAACAGCCTTTCACACGAGAAAAACAATCCTTCCTGTTAGAAGTCAGGTTCCTACAAAGGATAAATGCTTGAGGTGATGGATACCCCATTTACCCTGATGTGATGATTATGCATTGCATGCCTGTATCCAAACATCTCATGTGCCCCGTAAATATAGACACCTACTGTGTATCCACAGAAAGTAAAAATTAAACATTAAACAAAAAGTCAGTCTCCTAGTCAGCCACTTCCTAAGAGATCCTTGCTGACCCCTGGACCCCAGTTTCTCAAATTTCCTGATGATCAGAATCCCGGAGTGCTTGTTAAAAACACAGATACCCCAAGACCACTGCAGAGCCATGGACTCAGAATCTCCAGGGGAATCCCTGAAAAGCTGTATTTTTCACCAGCACCCCCGCCCCCACCGGTGCTCTCCAGGAAGTTAGGAAGCTCTGCCCTGAACGAGGTTTGTTGCATATTGAAAATACTAAATGTTTGGAGGAATCCATGGAATCAAAACCTCTGAGCCTGGACATCATTTTTTTTTTACTATCCCCAGATGATTCCAATGTGCAGACAAGGTTGAGAACCACGGTCCCAGACTACCAATGTTCTCAAACATCACTGTACAGAAGAATCATTTGCGTTAAAAGCAAATTCTCAGGCCCATGACCTCCAAGATGCTGATTCAGGAGAATTGGAAATTCACTTATGTCACTCATGGTCCTGACACAGGGGGATTGAGGATCACAGTGAGGACTCCTGACTAGGATAACACAGGGGCTCCACTGATGGCTCCCTCAGCATCCTGAGCTCTCCCTATCATGACAGCCCTCACATTTTCAATACTGAGTTATCCCTCTGTCCCTAGGGGCTATCAGCTTTTGGAGACAGGGACGTTCATCCAACATGCCCAGAGTTAGCATGATGCCTGGATGTGGTAGACACTCAACAGACATCCATAAAATCACTTCATTGCACAGTACCTTCTCATATATCTGCATCTTATTTTCCCAACTATTATGTAAAACATTTGAGAACAGGGAATAACATGTCACATTTCTTCTCCTACAGTCTCCAAAACAGTGACCTGTATATTGCAGATACTCCATAAATTTATTTTTTAATTATTTAATAACTATCACCTGTAATTCTTGGGCTGCTATGGTACAATTAAAACTTAAAGCAAGTTGATGAAATACCTATTTTACAATATACTACATTCTGTCAATTCCTAAATTGTCCAGAAGGGATACTAGAAGGAACCTGGTTTTACACTTCAGACATATGCAAATAGCAGGTCAAACAGTGTCACAGACTCAATTACACTGGAGAGTGGACTATGCTCTGATTTATCTCAAAAGTGAAAAGTTCTCTGTTCCGAAACATTATTTCTCTGTCACTCTCTCTCTCTCTTTCTTTCTAAAATGCAGCCCATGAGAATAAATCTGCAGAGAAACATTTAAGAGAGCCTTTCTCCAAGCATCAGAAGAACAGCGCATTTTCATGACGAAGATGAGAAATAAGAAACCTGCTAGCCAGCCCTCGGGTCATTTAGATCCTCATTTGTCAACACTTCTGAGATTAATAAACTCAGAATCCCCTTCCAGCAAAACACTCAAGTTTTTAGCCATAATCAACTTAAGGAACTTTTACACCATTTTCTCAGGTCCTGAGGGACCATATGTCCAAAACACGTTCTGAATCTCCTCAAATAAGCATTGACCTTCCTTGCAACTTGCTTCTTTTTTTTTTTCTTTTCTTTTTTTTTATTGTACTTTAAGTTCTAGGGTACATGTGCACAATGTGCAGGTTTGTTACATAGGTATACATGTACCATATTGGTTTGCTGCGCCCATTAACTCGTCATTTACATGAAGTATTTCTCCTAATGCTATCCCTCCCCCTCCCCCAACCCCACGACAGGCCCTGGTGTGTGATGTTCCCCGCCCTGTGTCCAAGTGTGGAACTTACTTCTTAATAGAGGAAGGTCTGCATTCAAGAGCACATGGATCATTTGAACTCTTGATTCTGATTCAGATCTTCCAACCAATGAACTTTGCATATGTTGAAATTTTATCAAATAAGTTATGTTGCTCCCAGTCCTTTGAATTGTTTGACTTCTGAAGAGAACTATAGTGCAAGGTTTTGCCAACTTTTTGACCAGAACCCTTAGTGAGTAATAAACTTTGCACTGCAGGTCAGCACACACACACACCTACCCTCCAACTGTTTCATGAAAAAATAGCTTCCTGTATTATGTGCAGTGCACACTTCTATCCTTTTTTATTCTGCTCCGTTCATTTTTTAAAATGATAACACCAATCATTAAATCACTGGTTCTCAACATTGGCTGTCTGTTGGAATGGTCTGAGAAGTGTTAACAATTTCCAATGCCTGAGTCTCACTCTCAGAGATTCTGATTTACTTGGTAGGGATGAGGCCCTAGCAGTGAGATTTTCAATGTCCCTAGAAGAAAATTTTCATGTGCAGTCCAGATAGATAACCTGTGTGATAACCTGGCCCAAAAACAAATCATGATTTGCAATTTGAAAAACATAGACAATGAGTAGTAACAGACACTAATTTCCAAAAACAATAACATTTACAAGAAGACTAGTTTATTCACTGAACAAGCAATGTGCCAAGGACCATCCTGGACACTAAGGATATGAATATGCTGAATATAGTTTCTCTACCCTTGAAGAACTGGTACCCTCATTTTCAAAAATGGAACACACCCGGGTACCAGTTCCCAGATGAAGAAACAGCATGACCAGCACCCAGAAGCTCCCTGTATCCCCTTCCAGTCACTGCCCCACAAGACTGACCACTAACATGACCTCCAACAGCATAGATTAGTCATTCTAATGACTAATGACTAATAATGGAATCATACTTTATGTTCTCTTTTCTGCCTGGCTTCTTTAGGCCAACATGGTATTTGTGAGATTTTTCCATATTATTCAGAGTACCTAGAGTTCATTCATTCTCACTGCCTTGTAGTACCCCACATTCTGTAAGTTACACCTCAATTAGTTTACTCATTATTTTTTGGATGGCATGTGGGGGTTTCACAGTTTGGGGCTAGGAGCATTCTAGTACACAGGTCTGGTTAATATGTACACATTTGGTCAAGTATATGCCTAGGAATAGAATTTCCAGGTCATAGCTTAAGCTTAACTTTAGAAGATACAGCCAAACAATTTTCCAGTTTGGAAATAGCTTGCACACTCATCAACAAAGTACATGTGTTCCAGTTGCTCCACATCTTCTTCAACACTTAACATTGTCAGTCTTTTTCATTTTAGCCATTCCAGTGGGTGTGTTAGAATAGACTTTTGAAATCAATTTATTTAAGTAAGAAAAGCAAGATTTCTTTAATTGACACATATAATGGTTCTGAATAGTGCATGGACACCCTCCCTTGAATTTGAGAGTTCACAGAGATTCCAAAATCTTACAAAAGGTCTGTGTCCTGGGTGATATTTCTGTTAATCATTGTGCTTCTCTCTGTCTCTCACCCTGCCTCTTGCCCTTGCCCTCTCGCTCTCTGCTTCCTGTATCCAGCCTGGGTCTGACCTGGCGGGACATGCAGCATCTGACTGTGCTCACCTCCAAACGGAACCAGCTTCACGACGAAGTTCATCAGTGGCGGCGCAACGGGGTCGGCCTGGAATTTAATCACCTCTTTGGCTACGGGGTCCTTGATGCAGGCGCCATGGTGAAAATGGCTAAAGACTGGAAAACCGTGCCCGAGAGATTCCACTGTGTGGGAGGCTCCGTGCAGGACCCTGAGTAAGTGCGGGTAGTGGTCCATCTGCTGCATGTGGAAAGTGCCCCTGAGATGGCTCCATGGCATTGGCATAATATCACATTCCCTCTTCATGTTTGGGTCAACTGGATTTTTTGTTTGTTTGTTTTTTTGAGACAAAGTCTCACTTTGTCATCCAGGCTGGAGTGCAGTGGCATGATCATAGCTCACTGCAGCCTTGAACTCCTGGTCTCAATAATCCTCCTGCCTCAGACTTCCAAGTAGCTAGGACCACAGGCGTGCACCACCACACTCGGCTAATTTTTTTTATTTTTTGTAGAGACAAAGCTTCACTATGTTGTCCAAGCTGGTCTCAAACTCCTGGGCTCAAGTGATCCTTCTGCCTTGGCCTCCCAAAGTACTGGGATTACAGGTGTGAGCCACAGTTCTCAGCCTGGATTTGACTCAGGGACAACCAGCTTCCAAGCAGAGCTGCAGGTTTGCACAAATCCAGGGGGCACCATTTACATAGAACACAGAACCCTTGTTTTCGGTTTTGAGTCTTAAGTGTTTCAGTGGTGTATGCAATTATTTCTAAGGGCACAAATCAACCACTATAAGCATTACCCAGCTCAATAAGGAGAACATGACTAGCATCCCCAAAGGCCTGCCCCCGTGACCACTGCCATTATCATCCCCACGCCACCGTAGCCATATTCTTACTTCTAACTCCATAGCTTATTTGCCTGTTCCATACTTACTAGACTCATACACTATGTCCTATTTTACAAACTAGATTATTTTGTTTGGAGTTATGTTCGTGAGATCCAATCATGTTTAATGTGTACTTACAGCTTTTTATCATTGCTGAAGAGTGTTCCAGTGTATGACTATTACACAATTTTTTTAACATTCTACTTGTGGGACAATCTAAGGACTTGACTTTCCTATGAGTGAGATGGATTGCCACTTGGAGGGATTTGTGTGAGTGGTTCCCCACAGAGAAACCACAACGTTGGTCAACTACACCCACTTCCCTTCCAACTGCCCCACCTTGGCAAGGGGATTGGTCAGTAAGGATACTTCTTAATTTCTCTCTGTCCTCCTTGATGCACTAGTAAAATGGAGATAGTAATTTGTATTATTATCACTGAGGTATTATTTACATATCATGAAATACACAGAACTTAAGTGTGTCATTTGAGTGTTGATAAATGTATACACCCTGGTAACTACCACTGAATCAAGAGATGAGGCATTCCATCAACCCAGGAAGATTCTTCATGCCCACTTCCAGTTCGTCCACACGCTCCACAGACACCCTTTGTTTTTATTCCTTTCTCTGTAGATGTGTTTCACCAGTTCTCGGACTGGACTGTGTCCAGTTTCTTTTTCTCAGCATGAAGCTTGTGAGATTCATCCAGGTCACTGTGTGTAGTCATAGCTCATTCATTCTCATTCTATCTTGAGAATACACCTCCGTGGCTTACGTCATTTAAATGGTGGTAAAATGCATTCCCTGCCAGGGCCATATTTCTGAGCATCATTGAGCTTGGCCAGAGTCCAACCCCTCTCAGACTTTATCCTTCTAGCCACTCTTCATTGGTGCTAGACTCCCTGCATCTCTTCTACTCAGTTACTCAGACCTGAATTCCGGTCTTGACTTCACCAACTTAGACAATACTTTTGACCTTTCTGACCCTCTACTTTAGCAATTCTCAACCTTTGTGCCCTGTCTCCCTTTGACAGCATGGTGACGTCTATGGGCTCCATCTCAGTCTAATGTTTTGCAAATTCATTAGATAAAATATACGAGATTGCAAAGGAAACCAATTATGTTGAAACCAATTACAAAAATGTTTTAGAAAACAAATTCATGCTGAAATATATGTCCCCTTGTCAGCACATTAAGTAAAAAGCTCTAGTGGCAAGTCTAATGGCCACAACAATTTCAGAGCAGCAGTGATGACTAACTGCTGCTGCAAGATCCATGCAGTTGCTATGGTGGGACATGAAAATCTGCCAGCTCTTTGATGATGAAGTCCGATGCCACTGTGCTTTGTGGCCTGCATTCATAATCAAAAGAGAAGAAAAATTTCTGTTATAAGCTAGTGAAAATTAAGACGTGGGGTTTTTTCCATTGAAATTATTAGACCCCTGAATTCTATCCCAATGGGCCCCAAAATAAGAGATTTTTTTCTCTTTCCTCACAAGTAAAATGGAGCTAATGTCTTTCCTCTTCAGGCTGCTGGGAGACTTTAGTAACACACAAGTCTACAGCAGGCACACAGTAGGCACTTAATAAATGTAACGTTGCCTCTCCTTCTCATCCATGACTAGATGTGAACACTCCTAGCTCACATCTGTAGAATAAAAAATGACAGCAATCTCCTAGAATTTTTGGTGAAATAATTGTCTGATTTATATGCAAATTCCAAATCATGTATCCTCTCAGCCTAAAATATCCTCCAGTGGACAAGCATGTGCCCTGGGGATGCCCATCCTCCCATGGGCCAGCGTCCTGCCATAGACGGGCAGCCCACCATAGGTCAGCATCCTCCCATGGGCCAGTGTCCTCCCATGGACAAGTATCTTCCCATGAGTGAGCATCCTCATTATTTACTCACTGAGCCCCTAGAAAGTGCACCAAGTGGATTACTGCCAAGCTGAGTACTTTTTTCCATGAAACAGTCATGATTTTAGAAGGCCTCACTCTAATCAGCACCACATGGAAAAAATAAAGCTTCAGCCCAAGCCCTATAATAATCTAAAAACACAGAGCTGCCCAAGTCCCAAGTGATGTTATAAATGTCCTATAATAAAAATAGCTACTCTGCACAGTTCCTCACCATTTTCCAAAGCTGCTGTGTCCACCCATCATTTCTATTCACTCCTGCATCCCTCCTCTCGGCAAGACAGGTTTCTCTGAGCTCTAAACAAGTTAGTTGACACGGTCAAGGCCACAGAGGCTGTAAGTGTAAGTGAAGACTGGAAGTCGCTTTTATGGAGTGCCGAGTGCATGCTATGTGCTTTCATACACATAAGCTTCACAGCCACCCTATTGTTAAGGGTGTGCCTTACACTCACACCGTTGAGGTGGGCGTGGGGGTGAATATTTTGCAGCCTTAACAACAAACTGGTCCCATGCTGTGTGTCAGGGAGAAGCACTGACTAGATGTGGTATATGCTAGGTCCATTTACATTATTGCATTTAATCCTTGTAAGCCCAGGAGGTGTGTCCTATCATTATTACTTTTTATACACAAGGAAGCTGAGCTCCAGAAAGGAATAAAAAATAAAAAATGTGCTCAGAGTCACAAAGGGCAGAGCAGGACTTGAAGTGAAGCCTATCTAAATCCAAACCCCAGGCTCTTTTCACTGCATAACCTTAACCTTAATCAGCAACTGTGCACACAGGTCCTACGTCAGGCCGTATGTGAGAGCAGCCCCGCTGTGAGCTCACAGTGCCATTACTGATGAGAGGAGGCTGGGAAAGGTCAAGGGCATGCCAAATGTCATCCAGCTACTAAGCAGCCAAATTGAGATCTGAGCCCAGTCACTTTGACCCCTCACGGTGGGCTCGCAGGTATCTCAGTGACTCCCCCTGGAGAAGGTGAGGCTTGGGTGGGGGAGGGAGTTCCAGTAAACATTCCCCTGGGGATTCTGAAACACCCACCTAGTGGGTGCTCCCATCTCCCAAACCCCATCACTGGCATTCCAGAGGCCCTGTCACTGGTCTACAATGCCAAGGTCTACGATGTCTTTTGGGAATGAACAAAGATGAGACTGGAAACCACTGTCCAAATGAGGGATTTAAGGCTAAACCCTACTCATCATAACTAACTTTACCCAAAGTCAACATGAAATGGGCATTGACAACTGTTTCCCTCGTTAAAGCTCAGAATAATTTACTGAGAAGTTTGGAAGTGCAGCGACTTTCTGCAGCGGTGAAAAGGTTCTGCACTGTCCAGTACAATAGCTTGTGGCTATTGAGTGCTAGAAAGGGGGTGACTGTGATTAAGAAACTAAAGTTTTCATCCCATTTCATTCTAATTAATTTAAATTTAAATAGCAATATGTGGCTAGTGGCTACCATCTTGGACAGCTAGGTCTTTTTTTTTTTTCTTTGAGACAGAGTTTCACTCTGTCGCTCAGGCTGGAGTGCAGTGGCACGATCTCGGCTCACTGCAACCTCCGCCCCTCCAGGTTTTTAAGCAATTCTCTGCCTCAGCCTCTGGAGTAGCTGGGATTACAGGTGCATGCCACCACACGCAGCTAATTTTTTTGTATTTTTAGTAGAGACGAGGGGTTTCACCATGTTGACCAGGCTGGTGTCGAACTCCTGACCTCAGGTGATCCACCCACCTTGGCCTCCCAAAGTGCTGAGATTACAGGCATGAGCTACCACACCCGGCTACAGGCAGCCAGGTCTAAGGCACATCTGGTAGTTACATCTTAGCAGGAGGGATACTGAATTGTGCAAACTGAATGGGAAGTGGAGATTTAATAACATAAACTCTATGAAGGGGTATCAAGAAGATGAGACTCCAAGAAAGGCTGGCTGGTCCATTTTATAGCCTCATGCCTTCCCCCAGCACGACATCCAATTGCAACATCCCAGAAGCCTAAAGGCAGCCTTGCGAGGGTGATAGTAAGAACTGCTGCTAAGAACTTCTCTCGGACAGTCACTGCTAGCCCTTTACTTCCACTATCTCATTTAATCCCAGGAGGCTGGCATTCCTAGTCTTAATTTAGGTGAGAAAACAGGATCAGACAAATAAAGCAAATGGCCTTAACTCCTATGTCCTTATCCATTCCACAAGGCCCTGGGGCCTGGAACCTCCTTCCCTTATTGCAAAAGGAAAAAGACTTACGATGTCTGTGCCTTTACAGACACTCTGCAAGCAGCGGGTGGGGGCTGGCACGTCCCCCACAGGCAGCGCAACTGGCACAATATCTACATTTAGTTGCACATAAGCAATATTTACAATTAACAAAAAGTTGGCGCCATTGCAATATTTAGGGGAAGAGTTAACTTGGAATA